GAAGGAAGGAAGGAAGGAAGGAAGGAAGGAAGGAAGGAAGGAAGGAAGGAAGGAGCAAGCAAGAAAGCAAGCAATGGTAAAAGATTTACATTGATCAATATAACAAAGCTATCACATTCTTATTATTCTTATTTAAAAGGTTCTCTAATCCTTCAGAGTAGATTCTGAAGACTAAAGATGTCCATTCATTTGACATATATTGCCAAGTTAGCAACAGAAGCAAACAAAGCAACCAGCAACTCTAGTTATAAGTAACAGTAATTCTGAGGCAATGAGATGCCACAAATATACTGTACAAATCACTCTTTTCCAGGATCAGATTTTTAATTATTGGTTTAACTAACAGCTATTTTATAGGTAATCCTCAATTTATGACCATAACTGAAGCCCAAAATTTCTGTTGCTAAGCAAGGCACATGTTAGGTAAATGTTCCCCCATTTTATGATCTTTTTGTCACAGTTGCTGAGTGAATCACTGCAGTTGTTAAGTGAACTGGGTGGTCATTAAGTGAATCTGGCTTCCCCCAATTGACTTCTGATTTCTGACAAAGCCAGCTGGGAAGATTACAAATGGTGATCACATGATCACAAGACAGTGCAACTGCCATAAGCACATGCCAGTTACCAACTGCCTGAAAACTGATCATGTGTCCAAGGGGATGCTACAGTGGTCATAAATATGAAAACAGGTCACTTAAGTCACTTTTTTCAGTGCCATTACTAAACATTCACTAAACTACTGGTTGTAAGTTGAGGACTACCTGTATTTTGTACTTGTTGTATGTTATAATAATAATGTTTTGAAATCTGAAAGAGCTCAACAATAGCATTACAATTCATAACATAACATTTTTAGATGTATTATTTTGCTTTCAACTCTTTGGGGAAAAACTGTTACACCTACACACTCTAGATCAATACAACAATCTGAAATACTTGTTGAGTAGTTGATTATTGGATGTTTTATGGATAGTTTATCCTGGGCTTTTCTTATAACTTGCATGTACATCAGTCACAGAAAGGACTTCCTAGAATTCAGAGTAATCTTATGAAGGGAATGTTTATATCATTCCTTCCCAAGCAAGGTCACTCTGTCCCTTCTACTCATATGCAATCCTTGTGCTCAACATTATTAGCCTCTTGTGATAGTGAATACACATGAAACTGCACACCATCTGGGCCATTCCTGAACGAGGCTTAACAGAAATATTTTAAGATAGAAGAATCTCCTTTGGAGCCTGCAAAATTCACTATTCCCATCCTTCCTTGTTGGAGGAGAAAAATATTTTTGCTTATTTTCCTTAGTCTTTTATTTCTCCCCACCATAATCAGCAATTCTGTTCATCTTATATAAATAAAATATAAAAATATATTAAGCATAAAAAGTAATGGAATAGAATGTTTTATTTTACTTATCCTTGCACCTTCCCCTTTCTCCACTGATATCAACTATTTCTCTTGTGACTGGTTTTTTTTTTTTTTTTTTAGATTTCTAGATCTTTTTTTAGATTTGGCCTAAGTTACTGAAGTCTATCAAATGGGGAAATGACTAGAGGAAGAAAAATTAGGCAAACCTGTTGCTAGTTCTCTAATTCTCTGTCTAGATCTCATACAAGAGGGAACCTGAAAAAGCTAATGAGGAGAGGTTCCACCTGGGGGAACTGATATAAGTAAAAGAGAGACCAATTCTTTTCACACACCCTACAACCCTTTCAATCGTAACAGGAGTCCTTCTATGATCTCCCATCCTCTTCCTTGAGTACAGGTAGTCTTTGACTTACAACAGTTCATTTAGTGACCATTCAAAATTACAAAAACACTGAAAAAAGACACTGAAAAAAGTGTCTGATGACCATTTTTCACACTTATGACCTTTGTAGCAGCCCCATGATTGTGTCATCAAAATTCAGATGCTTGGCAACTGGTTCATATTTATGACCATTGCTGTGTCCCAAGATCAGGTAATCGCCTTTTGCAATTGTTTGACAAGCAAAATCAATGGGGAAGCCAGATTCACTTAACAACTGTGTTACAAACTTATCAGCTGCAGTGATTCACTTAACAACCATGGTAAGAAAGGTTGTAAAATGGGGCAAAACTCACTTAACAAAATGTCTGACTGAACAACATAAATGTTGGGCTCAAATGGGGTCAAAAGTCAAGGACTACTTGTACTAGACCCAGTGAGGTATTTGTTAGATTGCTAGAAATTATTACTAGAAAACAATTCTGAGAGTATCCAGTGGATGAGAAAATGCCCATCTGCAAACAAGGATCAGCTAAAAACTAGGAAGAGAATGAATTGGGAGTATTTAAAAAATCCTCAGACCTTTCTGGATTTTATTGGATTGTTTCCTTTGGAGTCCATGTTGTCTATGTAATATGTAATCTGGACAAAAGTTACTGGTCAAACAAGAATTTGAATCTGGTTTTTCCAATACTAATATTCTATTCACTGGTTTATTTAGTATGTTTCAATTTCACATCTTAATATGCACTAGGCCGATTTTATTTATATAATAAATTTATTCTCTACAAAAAGTGTCCCATTTTTTTGAGTTATAAAATTTTGAATAAATTGAAAAAAAAATGTCTAAGTAAATAAGATGACAAAATAAATTGAAAAAAGACATTTAAGATGTCTAAATATATATTACACTGTACTGAATAAGAACATTAAAAACTTCCACTTCATCCCAAAGATACTAGTAATTATGACTTCTGTATTACACAAAAGTAAAATTGGAATTAAAGTATCAATTGCTCACTCTAGATCTCTCACATGCAAAGGTCTGCATTACAGCAGACTTTCTACAGATCTTTCAGATAAGCACATTTGCTTTCAATGTTGTGCTACTGCATATTCCAAACTTTCACCTCAGTTACACTCTTAAACTAGCTGAAAAAAATTGAAGTTATAAATCCTTAGTGTTCTGTTCCTTCAATTCAAAACCTGTGTTCAGGGGTGCGACAACCGGTATAACAATCGATTCGGTGAGCGTGCACTCCGCATTTTAAAAAGCTAATACTTACCTTCAACTGCAGCTGAAGAAAACAGCTGAGGCACAGCAAAGCGCTCTGCCGTGTGAATCAGCTGTGCTCTAACAAAAAGACATAAAGCACAGGAAAGAGCAGGGGCAGGCGGGCCCACATGCTTATCGGAGACAGCGGATCGTTGGAACAAGACATTCGCCTGAACCAGTCTGAACCAGGAGAATCCCACCCAGGGGTGGGATTCAAATTTTTTAACAACCAGTTCTGTGGGCGTGGCTTAGGTGGTGGGCATGGCCTGGTAGTCATGTGATTGGGTGGACATGGCTTGGTGGTCATATTATTGGCTGGGTGTGGCCAACTCAATATCACTCACATTGAGGCACACATTTCCTCGCCTGGCCTCTCAAGACTGTGGGGATGCTGCAACAGTCGTAAGTGTGAAAAATGGTCATAAGTCACTTTTTTCAGTGCCATTGTAACTTTGAATGGTCACTCCACACAAGCAAAGTACCAGAAAAGAAGGGGGGGGAAACTCGAGACGTTCCTGAGACAGGAAGTCTAGTCCTGCCAAGAATGTAATAAGGGTTAACAGAGAGGCAGTTTCTGTAAGTAACACCAGAATGTTTCCTTCCTGCCTTCCCTACAGGATTAGGCCAGTAATTTCTTCTAACAACCGGTTCTCCGAACTGCTTAGAATGTTAACAACCGATTCTAGCGAATAAGTGCGAACTGGTAGAATCCCACCCCTGATCCCACCCCTCCTGTGTTCCTGCCACCAGATTTAAACTTTAGATATGGCTACCATAAACCAAATGGTTTTAAGAAGTGAGATTGATTACAAGACATACCATTGAAAGAAACAAAATGTTAAAAAGTTATGATATTTATGTAGTTAAAAGCACATCTAAATTATATTAAAGTAACCAAAATACCTTTACAAGGCATGTCGCAACTTTTGAGCACCCAGCTTATGATTGGAAATTGAAAGTTGAAAATGTTGACATGCTCTATATTTCAATATACAACAAGACAGTTTCAATGATTGAGGAGACTAGATGTAAAGAAGAAGAAGAAGAAGAGTTGCATAACCTTTCACTTACCTTTCTCACATTATAAAAATCTCGATGGGGGTTAATCTTCAGTTCTTTTAGTTCAGACATTTCATTTAGCATTTCATGTAATCCAAACTTAGATCCTAGAAAGTTAAGCCGCTTATGGCAATATGTCTTCCTGTGAAAGATGAACCATAATTGATTGATTATACTTTTATATTATATAGAAAAGAATCATTTTACACTAAATAACAGATATCTGCTGGGGATTAATACTGCTCAGGCACCTCTGCAGTAGGGGGTAAAAATGTAAATAAGACAGTTGTGAGCACACAAGTGAAACAAGTCCTTTTTAATATGTGTCCCCTGTATATAAAAAGGGGGGGGAAGGAGTGATTTCACAGTTGTGTGAACCATCTTATATTTTTGACATGCCCAGAGGAGCCCTGGTCCAAACAACTTTGAACTAGAACTGTTTTAATGTGAAGCATTCCATTTCAGGTTAAAAATGTACTACTTCACACTAGAACAACTGTTTCTCATTCAATGGGTCATTTCCATTCTTCTGATTAAGGAACACTTGTTTATATTTACTTTTCAGAAAATGCTGAGACCTAAGCCACTATCACAACTCAGATGTTACATATACTATTCTTCCACTGTCTTTATATGTACCTAATAATGTATTTTCAGATTAAAGCTATTTCTAAATAAACTTGTCTAGGATTAGGGTTCTAAAACTTCATCAAACAAAAGCGTTTAAAGAACAACTGCATTATGGTTAATAAAGCATTTAATATCCTAGCCTTATTGAGTCATTAAAGTTAAAAAGAACCATACGTTGGGCCATCAGCAATAAGAGCCAGCACATGGCTGAGGTCAAGGGTGTAGGTGTGCCGATCAGGGTAAGGCAAACTTCGTGATTCATTAATTTCCATCATGTCTTTGTTTTCAAAAACTAAGAAGATGCCATCCTTCATCTTTACAACATAGTCTAAATTCCCTGGAGAATCATCAAGATTGTAAGGATCCACTAGTTCTTTTGGTGGTGGATGGAAATCTGCAAAACATCAAGGTCAGACATTCTAGCATCATTTAAAATACAGACTCAGTCTGTCACAGCTGGAAATTAAATTGTTAGTAATCAGTAGCTTTTCAAAAAAACAACTGTATGCTGGTCTTATTGTGAAATAGTAACTCTGCTTAAAGTCTGTAGAGATTCTCAGTCATCCAGGTCTTTTTAAAAAATTATTATTGTTTTATTGATTTTCTATTAAATACATTTCTTAGTGCTTAATAAACATCGTGTTGTCTGGATATTTAATTTACTTAACAATACAAATTACATTTGTAATCTCCACCCCTTTTTTCTAGCCATTGGTAAAATAAATTCCATATTTGATAGTATTCTACATTCTCTTTCTGTTTAATTTTAATTCGAACCATTTCTGCACAATCTAATATCTTCTTAACCATTTCTTCATCTCATGGTTTATCTTCATTTTTCCAATATTGTGCGAAAATAATCCTTGCTACTGTTAAGACATGTAATATTAAATACATACTTTTCTTATCAAGTTTTTCTGATATTATACCTAATAAAAATAGTTCAGGTTTGAAATCAACATGTTTCCCTATCATCTTTTCTAACTATCTGTGTATCTTTGCCCAATTTTTTTTTGCTTTCTCACAAATTCACCACAAATGATAAAATGTGCCTGTTTTCTTATTACATTTCCAACATTTGTTAGACATATTTTTAAACATTTTAGCTAATATAGTAGGTGGTAAATGCCATCTATATAACATTTTATATAGATTTTCTTTATAAGAGGTCACCATTGTTAATTTATAATTCCTTTCCCATGTTTTGCCATTTCTCTAGTTCTATATTATGGCCAAAAAAATTCCCATTGTAGCATTGTCTCTTTTATTTGTTCATTTTCCATTTTCAAATTCAATATACTTCTTAATTAGGTTTTCATCAGAGTTCAACAGTATCTGATCAAAGGTGTTTGTCTTTTATAGAAGCTATACTCTTTCATGTCTGAATCATATCTAGATTGTATTTGCAATTTTGGCCACCATGATAATATAATGCCCTGTTCTTCAAGCTCTTGTTTCGATTTCAATTTCCCTTCATTATCCAAAATATCTTTATAAGTGACAATTTTTCAAACTTTACCAAGTTTGGGCATGTAAAATCCTCCATTGTTGATATAATTTCATTTGTTGTCATTGAGTACAATTATGGTTTTAAGAAATAATATGCTTTAAAGTTAAATAGAACTTGGATCATGATATTTAGTTTAACAAATCAAGTTTAAGAAAACCATAACTTAGCTCAATGGTGGGACTCGGTCAGAAATCAAAGCATTATTTTTAATTAGAGCTACCTGGGAGTACTTCATCTTCAGTTTTCCATTTTTCATTTTTCATACTACATAAATATTGTGCTGTTGTCCTTGGAAAACGATGGTAAGCAAAGCGGCAATACTTCTCTCGAATAAGTAAAGCTTTTGCTAAATTTCTGGCAGCTTGTTCATAATCATCAACTGTAACCTAAAGGGAGAGGTTATACAATTAGTAATTAAACGTATAATCCTAATCCAAAATGAATGTACTTTAAAGTAAATTATGCTTCTCTTTGAAGCAATACACCTCTGCCAGACTACAGGAAAATCTCAATAGCTTCCTTGCCTGGTATAAAGACAGACCACTAACCATTTCCAAAGACATGCCAATAGCATCTATTTCACCATCTTCCCCACAAGGAACAGTGCCCAAGGATCAGTGGTGGGATTCAAATTATTTTATTATCGGTTCTATGGGCGTACTACCAGTTCTGAGGGGGGTGCAGTCAAATTGTTTTACTACCGGTTCTGTGGGCGTGGCTTGGTGGGCGTGGCAGGGGAAGGATACTGTAAAATCTCCAGTCAGAGGTGGTATTTGCTGGTTCTCCGAACTACTCAAAATTTCTGCTACCAGTTCTCCAGAACTGGTCAGAATGTGCCGAATACCACCTCTGCCAAGGATGGCTTAAACTAAAGGTTCTGGAAGTGGTGTTTTCCCTAACATCCCACTTCAAGACACTGTCTACACCAGGGCAGTCAAATCAAGGCCCACGGACCAGATGTGGCCTGCATGGTGCTTACATCTGGCCCCCAGGGCCACTCTGGAAACAGCAAAGGACTGCAAGCTCTGTTTTTGCTGTCACAAGATGCAGGAGGCTGTCACAGCTGAAAATGGAGTTCACAAGGGCCACGTGCGGCCCACCCAAGCTCCATTTTCACTGTCAGAGGATACAGGAGGCCGTCGCAGTTGAAAACGGTGCTCAGGAACCAGTTTTTGCTGGCAGAGCCTCGGGACACCGCAGGCACCCCCAACACGAGTGACATCAAGCTGGCCATACCCACCCTAGCCACATCTCCCTGAGGTCAAACACAACCCTGATATGGCCCTCAATGAAATTGAGTTTGACACCCCTGGTGTACACAATGTAAAGAGTGTTGATGGACTTCATAAAAGTAGCCTAAAATAACATGCATGCTCTGGGTCAGCAATATTATGACTCCAACCAGAATGGAACAACTTGCCACCAGGCCTGAGGAGAGGAGGGTGCAGCCAGTGCATTGTTCCGGGGCCCATGGAGTGCAAAGAGGGTTCATGAATGGGGGGAAATTAAAATGTTTACAAAAGCAATTTTTTAAAAAGAAAAACAATATTGGATATATACCTCATACTCTATACTTTGTGTGTATAGCAAAACCACCTTGCAGTCTTGTTTGACATAATCAATATCCCGCTGATATCAGTGAAGATCTTGTAATGGAGATAAGTCATTTGCCAATCTGTTCATCAAGCAAATTTTGGAGAGGGCCAACTGAGTCCAGTAGAGCTACTGAATACTAATGTGTATTATTGTTTTTATTATCTTTTACAGAAGTACTTGTCCTCTTTTTAATATATTTGCAAGTATGTTTGAATGTAATTAATAAATGTACCATTATGACATTATTGATTTATGTGTCCATGTGTAGGTGAGGGGGACCATATTAGTCTTGTTCCAGCACTTAATAATCCTCTCGGCGGCCCTGCTTGCCACAGCCAACTCATCATGGCCAACTCATCAAAGCCAACTCACTGTGGGACAACTCACTGCGGAACAATTTAATAATTCTCTTTAATTATTTAAAATAAAATTTAAAAATATTTTAATTTTTTTCCATTCACATTTCATTCTGTCCCTCCTTTCTTTAATGATTCTGTTCCCCTATTTCTTTAATATTAGTGTAACTCTTGTCCTGCAGTGAGTTGTCCTGCAGTGAGTTGTCCTGCAGTGAGTTGTCCTGCAGTGAGTTGGCTATGGTGAGTTGTCCTGCAGTAAGTTGGCCAGGCGAGTTGGCTGCTGTGAGTTAGCTATAGCAAGTTGGCCATGGTAAGTTGACTGTGGTGAATTGTCATAGACCCGTCTCCAACTAGTTCTGCTGTTTCCTATGGAATATTTGCCTCACATTTCATCCCTGATCTCCTTATCCATGTTCCATTTCTCTTTTGGCAGCAAGAGAGACCAGAACTTTTGCAGCCAACTTTTTTTTAAAAAAAAATGTTGATCAACCTATTAACCGAATGTAAAATCCTGGCTTACAGCATTAGTGGACAGTATAATTGAAAAGGCTCAGCTCTTGGAATTTCTGTAGCCTGTGGGGTTCGAACTTGCCTTTCTGTGTGGTCTCAAGGTATTCCTGATTCTTTGCTTCATCTTCTTATATTCTAAGAATACTTTATAATTCCTATGCTCATCCTCACAGCTAACCAATTCTCAAATTCCATCTGTTTAGCAGCACTTGTCCATTGAATAAATGGAAACTAAGAGATACAAAAAGCCAAACTCTCTCAATTAGTGATTCATAGCCAAACAGTTAACTAGTCAACTCACAGTTTCAAAACATGCTTTAAAGTTAAATTGGTAGTAGAACAGAAAAGAAAAACTGCAGTGTATGAAGTAACCACTTTGTACCTGTCAACCTATAAGTGGGCAGATGTATAAACGGAACAACAAATAAATAAATTCACATACTAGATGATGTTGTGCAAGGCTGGAATTTCAGTTGAGACAGCCAACCATCACAGCCATTAATGAATTTCTTAAACATATGGTTATACATATTTGTTCATTTATTATATGTTAAATTAAAATTATGAGTTTTCTAGATTAGTGATAATTAAAAAAAAATTAAATTGATGTACTTTTTGTCAACTTTTAACTTGTCCCATTATTCCCCTCCCTATTTTTCCTTTATGTTAGTTTGCATTTTAATGTTTATGAAATACAGTAAAAATGTTTGTAAAAAAAAAAAGAATGCTGCATGTGGAAGTTGAATTAACATAGTGCAGTGCAGACATATGGGAGACACATAATAAAGGTGCAATTGTGGGGGGTATAAATAGAGTGGCCATGATTTCCTGCCAGCTCTGGGGTGGGAAAGCAGCTGTATGCATGCGGCCTATATTACTCAAGAATGCAAGTGGGAGTCAATTCACAGAATGCTCCTTCATTCAAAGGAATTCCCTGCATATAAAAAGCTAGAAAATTGTGACAGAATGCTTCTCACTAAAGCCTTATTAAGTATCTTGTGTGAAAATGTTTTACAGATGGGTATTTAATTATCCACCTTCTATATGCAGTCTGGCTAAGATTTATCACTTCAGTGAGAATCAGAGATAGAGATCAGATATTTAAACTTTAAATCAGAGATGATTTAAAATATAACTTTGTAGAACAATGTGATTAAGACCTCAGCTAATTCAGTAAATGCAAAACACATTTCCAGACCTTTGGCTATAATTAATGGTTCAAGAAATTATATTCAGGTCTAGGCTTGTATCTGCTTTCTGAGGACTTGTTAGAAAGAATCCTTTCATTTTAATGAACACTGTTACTTCATATCAACACATCCTACAAGTGAAGATGTAATATCCTATTTGTTACCTGAAGCTGGGGGCCTCTGGACATTTCCCGCAAAGTTATCTAGTTATCTGACTCCAACTTCATATCTATTCATATTCCTAGTAATAATATCCTGCAAATGGAACAAGGCCAATATATGTCACTATGGAAAGTATGCTTGGACTTCTTATTTTAGGTAATGTCTAGTCATGTTGTTTAGCAGTACATGCCTCCAGTTGAGGATTAATATGAAGAAGAAATTGAAGATAAAGGTTGTCTTTAACTACTACAAGAATCCCACGGGACAAATTGTGTACTCAAATGTATCATTTGGAAAACTGTATTTCTATAGTAGTATATTACATCTTTATTCACTGCAACAAAGCTGTTGACCAAGACAAAATTCTCATGGCTGCTTAAACAATTCTACACAAGCATAAGCATCATAAAATAATAATTTAATTTCATATTATATATACAATATTTATCTTATAAGAAAAAAAAATCATTGCTATCATCTGTCTGTTTGCTTACCCCAGCACAGTAATCCCCACTAATTGTAACTCTTTGAAATTCTGGTACATCGTATGTCCCTTGCATAGGCTGAAAGGCACCTGGAAGAACTGGAGTAGGAGGAGACACAGCTGGAGTAGCTGATGGAGGCTTCCAGTCTTGCAATGGAATTTGTAATGACAAGGACTGGGATCGAATCATCTTGAAACTTTTCTTCCTAGATATACATAGCACACAATATAAAGTCAACAAGACTTCCATTTAAAGCAACAAATTGTCTCTTTGCTCTGGAAACCTTCTAAATAATAATACACACATGGACAGACAAATGGTCTGTTGAGACTTCAGTCCAAATGCTTCATTTCACAATGTTTATCAAATGAGCAATATTTGTAAACTTATTTCAAGATTGACAATATTACAATGTAAACCTTTTGACTGCTATTTGAATGGATTTAGAAGTCATTTTCCCACATTAAAAGGCAATACTTTTGTTTAATTAACTTGCTAAATATTTTGACAGAAGAGAACATAATTAGAAGGGATTTAATGGATTATGTGATGCCCATAAACATCTTTTGTATTTATGTCTCAGCCATCTATTTACAGCTGCTCATTGATTACTTGTCCTCTATCCCTGGTGAGAAAGATAGAGAATCATAGGGGCAACAAGTATGAATTTCACACAACAGTCAAACAGTAATTTTAAAAAAAACTTAGTATCTGCAGGGAAGATGAAGAAAAAGAATGAACTTGGATTTTATGTAGGCTCATACTTGCATACAAGCTGTATAAGTAGTAGGATCAATTGGATTCCTGATTTGCTCGCGTTCTAGTTTTTCTTTATAAGTTGATTTCATTTCTAACTCATATTCCCCACTTTCAGTTTAACTGAATAAACCAGAAGTGGATGCCACTGAATTCATATAAATAAGAATTCACAGAAAAGAGAAGACAACTAGCATCAAGGTGAATAAACTCAGTTACTGTGGCAATGGATGTACTGTTGAAAAGATCTGAAAGACCAGTGTAAGGACAGATCATCATGGAGAAAATATATTTATAGGATTTACAACTTGATGGCACATTATGAGTCAATCAAAAATACATCAACAAAAAGACTAAAATCATATAAAAGCCAATGGCAGGATTAGAGAGTGACAACACTTCATATTATATCTGATAGTATCAAACAACTGTTCTTAGCAGACCTCAAATCTCATTACTAAACATTCTTCCACTCTCCAAACCTACCTTTTGGTAGTTTCCAAAGACTGCTGTTCTGCCAATTCCTTCTGAAGTTCTCTTTCTTTGGCCTCTTGTTGCCCAATAGGACAATCTTCAGGCACAGTGAAAAGTGACAAGGCATCTTTGCTATCTTCTTCTCGAAGAACCTTGGCATAAACCTTTTCAGCTAAGATTCTCACTGACTCATCAACTTCAGACGTGTTTAACTTTGGGAACTGTCTGGGCATCTCTGCTATGAAAAATACAATGTGTTAATTCTGCTACTTTTATTAATATAAAATGTAATAAATTCACACTACTCTAATAATTTACAAAAAGCACATTTTACCTTAAATTCTTCCATTTTCCACTCATCCTAGCCAGGTTTTCTTATATGGATAAACCAATTTTAAAGACTTGAATAGCTCAGCAGGAATTACTAAAATTAGGTAAGCTTCAAATATTCCTGTGCAATACGTGTGAAAGGTTTTCTAATGAAATGTTTTCTTTCCAGTTTCCACATTCATTATTTCTTAGTCCTAATTATATTAGATGCAATTCAAAAAGGCTCTGCAGTTATGTAAAAAGGATGAATGCTGCTTGCATGATTATCTGCTTATCTAGGTCTGGGAGGTGTTAGCATGTCATGTGACTACCCTAGGTCCAAAACAGGCCTCCATTTGGGACTAAGGTAACCCTCTATCTTCATCAACTCTATCATGCAAGCTGCTTACCAGGAGCTTAACTGTTCCTTCTTGATACTTTCCTTAACTGTTCCTTCTTGATACAAATTCAAAGCCTAAAAAAGTCCCTGGGAAAATGTGTCCCTTCTGTGAACTCTTAGTTTGTTATAATCTTTATTCTTCCCCTGAAACCACAAAGCGGATGGAAAAGGATCTAAGTGGGTGTGGATAACCCCTCCCAATGCTGCCCTCATGCCCAAACACTGAAAGGTGGTGCCAACACTGATTGCACAACTGTGAACTGATAAAATACAACAGGAAATTGCAGCAGGCAGGAGTGCCGAAAAAGTAAGCAGTTTTAAACTGTTTCAATTGTTCCCAACCCTGTACTGTTTGCACACAATTTGTTTGTGTTTATGTGACTATAGAGGGCATGACTGAGTTAATGATGTTGTAAAAATATAATCGGCATGTGATTAAATTTAAGAAAACAATTGACCTTTTCCGTACCAAATACAACAACTGAGAAGAATGTAGATTTACACTGAATAACCACAACTCAGTGCTGATTTTATGTGCTGCCACACTATTCTGGTGAATCATTTTTTTCCTGAAGAATTTGATTTAGTAACAACTGGAACCAGCAGAAGCAAGACATCATGGTAGCTATCCAACATAAATTATTTGTTTGATTGTATTGTCTCTTTCCTACAAGGGCCTTCAAACTTGGCAAGTTTCAGACTTGTGGACTTCAACTTCCAGAATTCCTGAGCTAACATGACTGGACGAGAAATTCTGGGAGTTGAAGTGCACAAGTCTTAAAGCTGTCAAGTTTGAAGACCCCTGCTTCAGGAACTCCAGACACTGTATTCAACTTGCTGCCTTCCAATTTTCCCCATCACAACATTGTAAAGTCCCAGTTAACCATCTTAACCAGTACATCCTACTACGGTACTCTATATACATTTGCAATGGATATTTCAGCATTTTAATGCCTCATTGTTTCTACAGTTAATGAAATATTTATGTAATGAAATATTTAACAGCATAAAGTATATTTAGTTTTCCTTGTTTTGCACCCGTATGTAGTAAGAATCCGGACAAAGCACAAAATCCATTAGAGTACTTTAAAGGTAATATAGTCAAGGCTATTTACCTAGGACCAGATAACCAAGGTTAAACTCAGCTGAAAAACTGAGTGGACATTTTGGGTCATATATGTCTCCAAGACATACAAGCCAAAAATTGCAATTAATAAACATTTGCATGCTATTATCTTAACCTGCTGTCATGTACAGTTCTTGAACTAAATGTTAGGTTTATCGCTTTAGATAAGGCCAGAACAACTTTAATTTTGATCTTAGAGACATTAACATTTGGAACGTTTATAGATTTGAAATTCTATTTTTTGTGAACCCCATCAGCAGCCACTTGGCTATTGACAAATATAAGATTTGGAGTTGGGGAAGTTGTACTTTTAAGTCAGTCTTGAGTTGGGGTGATGGCCTGGAAAAGTCGCAATTGTTGACAACAATTTTCAGAACTGGCTTGTCATGATCTTCTTCCAAGTTTGAAAAGGAGTAACTGGTCCAAAGTTGTCTTTGCATCTAGGCCAGATTTAGGAATCCCAGGGTCCTGGTTTCTAGTTCAGTGTTTCAAACACTATATCAAATTATCTCCCCCTTTAAGATTTGGTTAAACAGCCTAATATGCATGGGCATCCATTCCTTATCACAATGACAAAACGATGAAACCTATCATAACATCACTATGCAAGTTCCAACATCATAATATCATGCACAATGAAGTTTGCATTGTGACATGCATTTTAATCCCTAATCCTAATTCTCTCTTGCTCCCCAGATTTCTTTACCCATATAATGGAACATACAATAGAACTAACATATAACTAACATAACAGAGAAGGGATCCCAGCAAGGCAGAGGTTAGAAGAAGAAGGGGGGGTAGGAAGATTTGGTGGGGGAAGAAAGAAAGGGGAAAGGCGGAGAAAAGCCTCAAAGCTTTAAAATTGGATGGGAGAAGAGGGATTTTTTTTAGAGACAAAGGATGAAATATAATTTTCTGTAAGAAAGATTCTGCTAAGGTACAGAAGATGGTATTGTAACATTTATATTTGAAATAGTAAATTAGAATGGTTTAAGATTTAATAAGAAATTAAAATGTTGAAGTTTTTAATAATGATTGATTTTTAAAATGTAATAAAATATCGAAGGAAAGGAGGATACAATGTATTTAAACATTTTTGGTGGATAGAATGTACCAAGCAGAATCAAATTGGGTATTTGTTATGCTGAATGTTAATTTTACTAACTTAGGGGGAGGATAGAAAGGCATCATACTCTGATTAGTGATTTCAGGAGAAATTTTTTTTTATTATAAGAAGAGATAGAGGGATAAATGAATGGGCAAAAGATACAAATTTAATGATTTAATTAAGATGGATTAAATAAGATAGAAATGTGAAGAGTGATATGTGCTATTATTTTAGCCCATGCAAAGAGAGGTAACTGGGGCCAAGGTACTTTACTAAAAGATTTTTTTTATGTTTGTTTGTGTTTGTTTGTGTTTTATGAGAATATTGGGGAAATTATTGTAGAAAGACAGGGAAAGATTAAATATGTAATGATTTGTTTGTTGTTGAAACTTTTAATAAAACTTGTTTTAAAAAAAAAAAAGAACTAACATATGCTGACTTTTTGCTTATCGTTGTTCTTAATCCAGCATACTTTAGAGAACTATTCTGTTAAGAGTAACCTCAAACTCTGGAGGAAAGATACATTATAAATTTAGTAAACCAGGCCCAGTTTTTTCTCTACTCTTTTTCGTTGTATTCATTATGTCAAACAACTATCAAAGGGTCTGGTTTCCATTTGTTTTGAATAACCTTGTTCCTAAAGCAGGACTATGCAAGCTTATTTGAATCAAATACAACATTTGGACTTGAACTGATACAGTATGACAAGCACCATACTTCAAGAGTTGCAATAAACAGATGAAGTCAACACAAATAATTAAATTTGATTTAAATCCAATTTAATTATAATGAATTATATTCAAACTGTATTCAGCTAATGTGATTACTTCAGCTTAAATAACTGCAAAATTGGGGTTGAAAGTCTCATTCATTTCAATGGAAGAGTTAAATGCTATCGTTAATTTCCCTGACTAATAGCAATAGAATTTTTAAAATAGATTTTTAAAACTGATTGGATTATTCTTCAAGTTATCTGTTCAGGAGGAAACAAAACCAAGATTAGTTTTAATCAGATATAGTTTTGATCTAATATTTTTCCTTAGATGTATAAAAGAATATTCCCACAAACTTAATGCAGCAAGCCAACTGTTGATACATAAATTTGCTGATCAAAGAAATAATCTAATAATTCCAGTCTAACAATGCCAAAGGGTATTTTATTAATTTCATGAAATTTTGTTAATTTCATCATAACATTTCTTAACATTAAATAGTCTGATACTTCATAAAGAAGTAAAGCATTTTAACTTTCATACTTCTTATAATGGGCCTAATATATTTTATTTCCTATTTCTTATCTATGTAAAAAAATTCCAACAGCACTTATTCAAAAGTAATATCCTGTGGAACGCAACAAACAATACAAGCTTTAAGTACAATCCTTTGTTCTACATAGAATTACATATTCTATTTACTAGATAAACAGAAATTTCATTAGAGTTACAGATATTTTATTGCTGCAGTCATATCACAGATGCCTATGTATATGTACACACAGACATATATACTCCCAACGCTATAACTGGGTTTATTTGCTATCTAAGAAAAATAAGAAAGCAGCTGGTATTTCCAGGCGGCACTCTGTTACACACAAACACAAACACACACAAATAAACTTTCCAAGATTAAATTTGGTGAACACTGAGAAATTCAGGGGATGCTGTGATGTGCAGTGCTCATGAACCACTGAAGCTGGCTAAATCCGATGATGTCACTGCATCTGCTTCCTCCTATATATTGCTTACCAAATTCATGATCTGTAAAGTATAATTTTCAAAACACGGAGTGAAAGGAGTTGCTTAATAATAGGAGAAAACGAATGAAAACCAAGATGCTGGAAGAGCCCTGAAATTACAGGATGAAACGAATTGCTTGCTGCAAATGACTTTTTCTCTTGTCCTTTAAGAAACAATGCCTGCATATAATACTGTATATATTTTTTGCCTGTTTTTTTTCTCCAAAGTTAAGCTGATGAGCTGGTTCTCCGTTTAATCTCTTCGGAATCTGCTCGCTCCCTTCCACTTTCCAGACGTCGAGACCATTTATCGAGTGAGATATATAGTAGGGCTTGAATATTTTATATTACAAGCCATTAAGGGGGGAGGAGGGGGGGGAGATGATGTAGAGAGAGAGCTCGGGGAGAGCAACTGGGAGAGCCCAGCCAAGCGAGGGGAGCCTCAGCCCAGGAAAGGGATTCCCACCCCCACCCCCCACCCTTCCAACCCCAGTCAGGCTGAGCAGTTCTGCAAGTGCTCGAGCCTGGTTTCCATCCGTCCCGAGGACAGCGGCGTGGCCGCAGCCCGTTGCCGCCCTTCCCCAAATCAGCTTTCAACCCGGCCGCCTATTTTTAAGCAGCGACTTACCTAGCGTCCCAGGGGCGGTCATGGTGGAGCTCGGGGAACCGGGCTGCTTTTGGCTGCTGGGCAAGGAGGTTTCACACCAGCCGGTCGGCCTGCTGTGGGAAGGAGGCAGAAGGGGGAGGAGCCGCCGCGGTCAGAAGCTGCCGCATACATCTCGGCCGGGCGTCGCAGCTGCTGCGGCCGGCTTAAAAGCGGAGCAGTTAGCCGGAGCAGGAGCAACCCCGGCTCCGGCAAGACGGTTCCCCCCCACATCCCTCCCGCTGCAAACCAACACCACCACCCCTCCCTTCTTCTTGGCAATAGGCCAGCCCGGAAAGGTCTCCTATGCAAATATGTTGAGTCTTGCCGGCTGCGGAGAGGCTCGTCCAAAGCACCGCCATATGCGCCGGCGGACACCGAAGATGCGCGCGCGCGCTCCTCTGGAGGACGTGCGTGCGACCCCTAGACGATGTTTCCTTCCCTCCCCTCCCCACAAACGCTGCGAGGTTAAGCCCGAGCCTCGGTTTCCCTCTTCCTTCTCCTCAGTCCACGCTACCCTGTCTCTCTCCCGCCTCCCCCTCCCCGTTACCCCTCCTTACTCTGCCCGGCTGGACCGCCTCTGCCGGCATTGAAAGTCCACCAAGCCCTGCTCTCTCTCTCTCTCTCTCTCTCTCCAGGGTGCGGGCAGCAGGACGAGCGTACCGCAGCCTCTAACCTCAGCCGGCGTCGCCCTCGGCGGTTCTCTCTCAGGCAACCGTCTATCGCCACTCGAGGAGGAGATGGCTGGCTCGCCTTTCCCCGCTGCGACGCCAGCCGGAGCTCTTCGCCTTGAATCCCGGCGCGTTTGAAGAGGAAACTTCGAAGAAGGAGAGGTCGCCTCGGCGAAGCCAGCTCCGGTCCCCCTGGTGGAAAAGGAAAAAGAGAGCGGCGGCAGCGGCGGCGGTGACACGCCTTGCAGGAAGGAGTCTCGGCCAAGGCGGAGGGCGCCTCCTTGCTGGAGTTAAAGCGCAGCCCGGCTGCAGGTGATCGCGGGGAGGCCAGGCTGGTGCGCGCCTGGCGGCGGCCCTTAAACAATGTTACTGACCAGCTGCGGGAAAGCTTCCCTCTCACGCGAGATGTAGGGGAAGGGAAAGGAGGTGGTTGAAGGAGGAGTTGAAGTCCACAAGTCTTAAAGTTACCAAGGTTGGACACCCCTGCCTTACAGTGAAGTAGCCTGAATTTTTACTAATCAAAAGGTGCTATGTAGTTAATCCACCTTTTTCTTCTTAAATGTTTTCAATAAAATAAAAAGACAAAGCCCCAGTAGAAAAATATGGGACACTGTTTGTGAGATTGTGATTCACACGAAACACAAGACACGACACGGATCTTCAAACACGAGTTGATTTATTCGGTTCTGCAGAAGCGGGTTCACATCCAAGGCAGCAGGATGGAACCTCGAGCATAGTTTATTCAACATACTTATACCCTAGCCCCCACCCCATCATACGATGGCTTGGTTCACAGATAGAAAACACCCATTCCTTATCAGTACTTTCCAGGCTACCAACTGACAGCGAGTGGTCTTGGCTACTTCCTCTGGAAAAGTACTGAAACTGCCTTTTGAAACACACATACCTATACAAAATTAATTCATATTGCTCTACTTCTTACAATCCCCCCTTTTCTGGATCATAACTGTTTCAAAAGCAATTAAGTCCTCATCAATTCTTTCGAAATGGCAGTTTCATCCTCTCTTATACAACAATTTTTCTATTTCTTCTAGCTTACTAAATTTTATCTTACCACAGGCAGATATCATCATTTGCATCAAATTAGGTAAGCATTGAATACAACAACATAAAGCAATCAAGATTACTATAATTGTTATAACCGTTGTCAAAATAGACTTCCACCAACTACCATCTGGCAGCCAAGACCATACTGCATCCCACAATGAACCTGCTATTCCAGATTCATCCCATTGTTTCTGATACTCTTTCACTCTTTCTTCCATATCTTTTACAGTTCTAGTGATGTTTGGTTCATAATTATGTATATAGGTGCAACAATGTGAATGAACTAAGGCACACACTCCCCCTTTAGCAGCTAACACAATATCTAAAGCGAATCTGTTTTGCAAAGCTACTTGTCTTACCTCAGATAATTCCTCATTAATCATCTTAATTGTTCTAATTGTGTCATTAAACATAGCAACTGTAAAATTATTTAGTCTGGTAATATCTCGATAATTCATCCCTATTCCAAGTGGGGCTATTAAAGCTCTGGCCGTACCCTCATACCAAGATCTATGATGTATTCCAGAATCTAACTCTCTTTTATTTCTAATTCGTGTATTTGGCAATTTATCTAATTTGTATATTACAGGTAATACAAAACCCATGGTGCAAGTACCTGACCATAGTTTTGGTATTTCTCTATAAGCATGTTTTCCACACAGCATCCATCTATTATTTTCCATGGCCCAAGGCATGTTTGAATATCTAGTCCAATTTATTATGTTCTCAAAGTAAACACACATCTGACAGTAATATGTATACTCTGGCATATATTCATTCTTACATGTATAACTGGTACTTATACTATGATTAAGACATGTTTTAGGCATTTCCAATGTCTTGCTACACTTTTCCCAATCTCCAAGAAATGGTCCTCCAGTAACATTCCTTTTAAAGCAAACATAAGCCGTTTCTCTTAAATGAACAAATACTTTCCTAGTCATTTTTCTTTTTACAGGTCTAGTTTTGGTTTCCCCTCGTGGCACCATCATCTGTTGTGTTAGTGGTACCCCATGTAAAATCACTCCTTCTTTAGCTTTCCCAGGTAAATGCATACATAACCAACAATCAGTAACATTCAAACTCTTAGCCATTGCTCTTATGTCTTGGATATAGCAATTATCCATCCAGAGATCTTCCCCAAGATCCCCTGCTCTCTGAACGTATCAAGATTGTTCGGTTTCTGCTTCCTCAACCTGTTGTAAGACAAAAACACTCACAAGTACAGTTGAAATACACAGAAACATATACATGATTTTATCTTTTAAAAGTCAGTTTCAAAGGTTGTGCTTCCACTAGGTGACTTCTCCAAGGCTTCTTAGGTTCTGGAGCTGCTTTCACACGACTGTAGTGAGTCCATCCACTCTCCTTCGTCCGGACAGCAGACTCAGTAGTCAGAAGCACTTGGTATGGTCCTTCCCAGCTGGGTTGCAATTTCTCAGTCCTCCAGGTCTTCACAAGCACCCAATCACCAGCTTCATAGGGATGTTGACTTCCTACTAGCGGTGGTCGCTGTGCCAAAAGTCCCTGTTTGTGAAGAGACAATAGAGACCTGGACAGTGTCTGCAAGTACTTTCTCACAAACATATCTCTGAATTCTGGTATGGGTCCCCCAAGGGTTGTAAGATATGGTAGGCCCATTAACATTTCAAAAGGTGAAACTCTCACATCCTTCCTAGGACAAGTTCTAATTCTTAATAAAACCAGAGGCAAATTCTTAGTCCAAGGCAATCCATTTTCTAAATGCAGTTTTCTCAAATGTTTCTTAATTTCAGAGTTCCCACGTTCCACTTTTCCAGATGATTGAGGATGCCAAGGAGTGTGTAGATCCCACTTCACCCCTATTGCCCTCATTACTTCTTGAAGAATTTTCTGTGTAAAATGTGTACCTCTATCTGAATCAATTACTTCAAACATGCCATATCTAGGTATGATTTGTTCTAACAAGATTTTTGTCACCATGGAAGCTGTAGCTTGCTTCGTAGGAAAGGCTTCCATCCATCCTGTCAAATGATCTTTGACTACCAACAAATATTTCCATCCACCACTAGGTGGCAATTCAGTATACTCAATCTGTATCTTCTGGAACGGCCAGGCTGCTAATGGCCGTCCTCCTCTATCTGTCTTTTTGGATGCACTTTTATTTACTTTCAAACATATCAAACATTTCCAACAAATGGAGTGCGCTATTGTCCACATATCTAAACTCCAATAATGTGGTTTTATGGCTTGTACCAATGCTTCAGTTCCCCAATGACTTCCCTCATGTAAATACTGCATCACATTCCTCATTTGGGGTCCCGATAAAACTGGTATTCCCTTAGATGTAAACCATCCTTTCTCAGTTTCTTCACATCCCTCTTTTTCTAATTTCTTTCTATCATTCTCATCTGGTTTCCATTCCTCATGTGGCTCTTCTTCCAACAAAGGAATAGACACCATTTGCAATATCAACTCTCCTGTTGCCTCCTTTGCCCACTTATCTGCCCATCGGTTCCCAACAACTTCTGGACTATCCCCTTTTTGATGTGCATTCACATGTACTATGGCTAGTCTGTGTGGTAACTGTAGACCAGCGAGTACTTCTTCGACCAATTGCAACTGCTCAATTTGTTTCCCATCTGATTTAATGAACCCCCTTTCTTGCCAGATCTTCCCAAATGTATGGACCACTCCCCAAGTATATTTAGAATCTGTCCATATGGTCACATCTATTCCCTCTGCCAATTCTAAAGCCCTTTTTAATGCAAACAGTTCGCATTTTTGTGCTGACCAGTTTGTTGACAAAGGCCCCTTCTCAATGACCTCTCCTTCTCCAGTTACTATGGCATATCCCGACCTTCTTACACCACTCTCTACTCTACTAGATCCATCAACAAACCATCTTTCACCCTCTTCTAAAGGAGTTTCTTCCAAGTCTTCTCTGACTTTTGTCATTAAATCTACTTGTAATAGACAATCATGATCTTCTACTTCCCACTCCTTCCTTGATCCCTCCAAAAACTCAGCTGGATTCAAATTCTTGTCTGTCCCTATGACTACATTTGGACTAATTATCAAAATAGTTTCATATTTCAAAATCCTTCCCTCTGTCATCCACGTGGATGCCAACTGACTCAAGACTGATGTCACTTGATGTGGGGAATGCACCACAAGTGCTCCCCCAAAGGTCAATTTTCTGCTTTCAACAACCAACACTGCTGTGGCTGCAACTGCTTGTACACAGACAGGCCATCCCCTCACAACTGGTTCTAACGTTTTGCTCAAA